AAGGATATTGAGTCTGGCCAGAAGAAGTTCACTGATGACTTTCAACTCTGCATGTTAATAAAATAATGGAGTGGGAATCAGGACATCAGTGTTAGGGGGATGATCCTTACAGAAACTTCTGAAGAACAAAGGCTCCCTGGCTTCCTCCTGCTGTCACTTTTCTAGACACTGTCTCTTTTTCTCGCCATTATGCAGGCATCAGAGGAGTGACTGTACAGCCGAACCTCCTGCTCACTCTTCTCCTTCAGTGTCCCAGGGTACTACATGAATTGTTGCTGTGTTTTAGGGACTTAGTTTCACGTCACTCAAAAGTTGAATAGGAAAATGACTTTCAAATATAACCCAGATTAGCCATAAATTCTCTCTCATAAAAGAGGGAATTTCACTTCTAGAGATTATGGGGCTAAACTGTTTTGACTTAGCTAGAGTATTGATCCAAGCTATTAGATTGAAAATATCAATAGAATATAATAAAAATTGCCTGTTTCTAGTGCTTTCCAGTTGCTAAATCGTAACAGAAGGGAAATATAGTGAGCCACCTGCAATGACCTTTTTTCATTTTTTGTTTGTTTGTTTGTTTTGTTTTCTTGAGACAGGGTCTTGCTCTGCCACCCAGGCTGAAGTGCAATGTCATGATCACAGCTCACTGCAGCCTCTACCTCCCAGGCTCAAGCAATCCTCCCACCTCAGCCTCTGGAGTAGCTGGGACTATAGGCGTGAGCCACTGTGCCCAGCCCTTTAAAAAAAAATGTAATTTTTAATTCTCTGGTAGACATCTAAAGGCTCTGACTGTTTTTATTCTTAATATTTCCAAAAACAAAACCACAGGAACACATTTCCAACAGCAACATTGCTAATGTTCAGCATAATGGCACACATATTCCTAGCCCTGGAACAGGGTTGTTGAGGATTATTTGTATATGGTAAATACAAACTCTGAGGTGTCATTTAACCATAAATTTGAAGGCCAGTGATGGCTGATAAAAGGAAAGAGTAAAAATTATGCAAGTTATCGCTGGTAATATATTCACTATTGCATTTAAAACACCATTGAAAACATAATCCTCATTTTTTTCTGTTTTGTGAAATCTCATGAGGAATAAAAAAGGCAAATGAAGCTCTTAGATGTTCAAAATACATGTAATCTGAAATGAAAACAGCAATGTTTACACTTCAAGTTGAACTCCTTAAAGGGAATGAAAAACTAAATTTAGCCTT